GAGCTGTAGTCAGCCAGCCCTTCTTACCACAGCCGAATGCAGCTCTGGTGGGGCACTGGTTAAGACATTCGGCTGCTAACCAAAAAGCTGGTGGTTCAAACCCACCAGTGGCTCCATGGAGAAAGATGCAGGTCTGCTTCTGTGAATATTGACAGCGCTAGAATCCCTAGTGGCAGTTCCACTCTGTCCTCTAGAGGCACTGTCAGCTGGAATCCACTCAATGGCAGTGGGTTTGGTTTGCGCTTTGCTTTGGTAGACTGACAGCCTTGGAGACCGGATGAGGCAGTTTCCCTCCGTCCTCTAGGGGTGCTGTGAGCTGGAGGCCCACAACAGCACATGAAGCCCAGATGAGACAATCGACACCAAGCCCTCAGTGCCTGTGGCCAAGTGCTATTTGGTTTCCCTTCCAACACTACTTTGGGTCTGACACACTGTCTATCTTCAAAAAGTGCAGATGTGAGTGAAGACACTGTTCAAAGTGTCTTTTAGGTAGCATTCTCCTATTTTCTGCATCTTCCCTATTTAAGATGTCATGTGGAAGTCTTGAAAGATGTCAGTTAATCCTGCAAATCTGACCCCTGAATAGTCCTTCTTTCTCTTCCCCTCTCTCATTTTGATGCACCCCAACTAGGACCTTGTATTTCAGCGTAGCATCCTGGCTGCTCTGTCTCCTCCTCTCACGTCTTCACCCAAACTGCCCCAATGCTTGTAAGAACTTCCTCCTGCTGTCACGTCCCCAGCACCCACCTGGCCCTCAGGCCTTTGCTCTAGTGTGGGTCTCTTGGGAAGTTTTCCTGGAGCGACTCAGTGCACAGTTCTAGCACCGGGCTTTTGCCATGTGTTTCCTGTCTCCCGTGGCTGTGAAGCGGTCAGGCTCTGGGCCAGGAACTGAGAGGTCATGGTTTGAATCCACCAGGCCGTCATCTTCATGGCAGCAGATCATCAGGTGTCTTTCCTGCAGAGCAGCTGGCAGATCAGAACCGCTGACCTTTCAGTTAACAGCTGAGTGCATAACCACTGCACCCTCAGGGCTCTGTGTTCTCTCTTGAACACTATGTAAACCATAATGCTCTCTTCTCTAGCCACTGCAGCAGGCACACAGATGGCTACCGATGAGCTGACGGGCCTACACAGGTGCAGGAACTTGTCTGAGAGGGCATCATAGCATACGGCCAAGTCAACACTCAGGTTTAAGGCTAAGCCATTCCAAAGACCATGGTTCCTACCCTGCATCTCTAACTTAGCCATCACTGCCCTGGTTTCACCTCATCTGTCAGTCTCCTTACGGTGTCTCCGCATTCAGTCCCCCATCCCCAGTTTCCTTTTTTCACCTTTATTCCGTTTTTAAAGCCAAGTTCATAAAGGCATTAACAGAGGAGCTCTGGTAGCATAGTGCCTAAGGTGTCTGACTGCCATCCAGAAAGTTGGCGGTTCCAACCCACCAGCCACCTGCAGAAAGAAGACTGGGCAATCTACTTCTGTGAAGATTCACAGCCTCGGAAACCCGAGGGGGTTGCTATGAGTGGGAACGGAAAGACGACTTCCATGGGCCTTCCAAGGCAGCAATGCTCCAGAAGCAGGTCAGCAGGCCTCCCCTCTGTGGTGCTGCTGCTGGGTCAGAACCATCTACTTCCAAGTTATTCCAGCGCAGACCTTGGTGTCCCCCAGGGAACCTGAATCCCCTACAGGCACCGTGTACCTATCAGTACACGGACTAACACAACCAGCTTGTGGGAAAAGAGGCTTCCAACCAAACCAAGGGTCTGGAAGCAACAGGGCTTCATGCTCGGGTGGTGGTGACGCCTGCTGCATACACCTAGAGGAAAACCCCGGACAGCCGGAACCTGTGTGAGGTAGGAACCTGTCAGAGAGGAAGAAGGCAGGTATCTTCCACTAACGGAGAGCGAAGGAAAAGCCTAACACTGCACCCTGTCAAAGGCGGAAAACCTGTGGGAGCTGGCAGCACTCGGCAGCCCGAAGAGTTCCGGCTCCCGCAGGTTTCACTGTACAATCAAACGGGGAGAGCTGGGAAGTAGCAGGAAAGGGGCCTAGTGAGTCCTTATCAAAGAGATAACTGGGCCAAAGGGAAATCAGTACAGAATGGATGTTAAAAAGAGCACTGTGCCCTTTCTACACAAATATTCCGGCAGCAGGAAGGTAAAGACTTGGGGTGACAGTCTCTATGGGGAGCGTGCTCGTGTAGTCCCCTCCCCAGAGTAATCCCCACAGCACATCAGGAATAGAGCCTAAAAGCTGGGTTGCACTGGAGACCATTCTCAAAGTGGGAAGCTGTCAGAGTGGAGCTGCTCAACAGGACGGGGCCTTGTCACCATCACATCCACCCACAGACACCGGGAGCCAGTGAGCTCCCTCCCCCCAGCAAACACGGCTGCCTGTGAGCACCTTTCATGGAGAGGCAGCGACAGGATTAACCTACTCAAATAGCAAGACTTCACTAACAGAAAAGCCAACACACGTTGAAGGATCCGATAAAGTAATTAAGCATGTGAACAGCTCACATGTCCCAAACATGTAATGGAGATACCGATCACCGCTGTTTCTGTTAGGTGCCCCAGAGTCGGCTCAGACTCACAGTGACCCTGCACGCAGCAGAACGGAACCCCGCCTGGTCCTGTGCCACCCCCCCAATCACTGCCCCGCTTGAGGGTCCTCCCCATTTCTGCCGACCCTCCACCACTTAACCCAGCATGCTGTCCTTCTCCGGGGACTGGTCCCTCCTGATAACGTGTCCAAAGCACATGAGATGAAGTCTCGCCATTCCTGCTTCTAAGGCGCATTCTGGATGCCCTCGTCTGAGACGCAGGTCCTTCCGCCTTCCGGCAGTCCACGTAACATTCCGCATTCGTCACTACCACCACAATTCAAAGGCAGCAATCCTTCTTCGGTCTTCCTTATTCACAGTCCAGTGTTCACATGCATATGAGGTGACTGAAAACACCCTGGCTTGGGTCAGGTGCACCTTAGTCCTCAAAGTGGCATCTTTGCTCTTTAATACGTTAAAGAGGTCTTTTGCAGCTTATTAGCCCAATACACTACGTCTTTTGATTTTTCTTACAACTTTTTGTCCCGATTTGGGTGAACTACGTCATCTCATTTCCTGAGTGCTTGTTCCATGGGCACTGATTGTGGACCTAGATAAAATGAAATTCTCGACACCTAATCGTAGGTGTTCAGAAATGGAAGTCACGCCCATATACTGTGCCCTCACAACCAGGCCAGGGAGGGAATAACAAGCCCACTTAACAGATAATGGAAGCTCCAGGCCGCCTGGTCAGCGAGCAGGTGGCAGTACTGTGCCTGACGTGTCTCTTGGCCCATGACAATGGTTCCCCTCACACTGGGCCGTGCAGGACACACTGTGGCAATGGACGCGTGTGTGTTGCATTACCAGGGAGTAAACTGTATGCATTTAATTCACGGAGCCCGAGTGGCACAAGCGGTTTGCAATTGGCTGCTAACCTAAAGGCTGGCAGTTCAAACCCACCCAACTGCTCTGCGGAAGAAAGACCTGGTGAACTGCCTCTGTAAAGACAGGCAAGAAAAGCTCAGCTCTAGTTTGCAACCCATGGTGCTGCCAAGCGTTGGCAATGCCTCAAAGCAGTGGGTCTGGAGTTTGGCTTTCAGTTCGTTATAATCCTTTCAACCCCCTTCCCTGGGATTCTCCAGTACCATCCTGACGTCAAATGAAAGGCAGAGCGCTGAGAGAAGACCCTTGAGAGGCCGGAGGAAGACAGTGCCATCGACCGGACCATGGGGGGTGCTGCGTGCCACGGACGGGCGATGTTACACTCGTCTGCTCTGAGTTGTGAGCCCCTCTGGACCCTGAGCTGCCTCTACTGCGTCCACTCCTCCTCCTCCTCACAGGCTTGGGAGGCTTCCTTGGCACCTCTGCTTGGCATTGGCGACACACACGCAGTCACGAGAAATAAGAATGGTGTTTACCCAAAGCCGGTGTCCTTATGCAGTAGCTGCAAGGTCTACGGGGAAGACCTGATGCTCCAGCCTCTTAATTAGAACAAATTATGCTAAAATGACTCTCAGACCCCATCTGATGGATTACAGGCAAGTGTGGGAATTCCCTGAAACACCGGTGAACAGGCCACAGACAGGAGCCACAGGCAACGCCTGTCTCAGTGAGCAGGGCTCCATCCAAGATGTACCACGTCTGGCCCTGAAGCTGCGCCAGGGTGCTTTCTAACGCACGCATCTACTGCCCACGAAACCGGCCGTACTTGTAAAGAAGCAAAAAATAAAAAAGTGAGACAGCTGAGGGAACTGTAACAATAAAAGACCACAGAGGGGCCTGGAAACACTGAGGTCCGCCCCCCAGGGTCCTGGGGTGGTAACGAGGAGGTGCGTTACAGTGACAGGAAAAAGAAAGCCAACAATGGCCCCAAGGACAGGTAGAGTCCCTCGGTGGCACAAGCGGCTGAGCGCTCAGCACTCACTGACAGGTGGGAAGTTTGAACCCACCTGCAGGTGCCCCGGATGACGGCCTAATGAGCCGCTTCTGAAAGGCCAGGGCCGTTAGAAACCCTGGTGAGCAGAGCTCTACCCCAACACATGGGGCACGGCCACGAGTCGCACCTGATGCCACGGTGTAGGTCTGGTACGTGCACTGAAGGGAACTTGAGGCAGCGCAGTGCAGGGAAGTGTGACATGGGGGCACCAACTCTGACGCTCGTTCTCAACTCTGCCACCTCCCTGTCTTGGACCCTAGACAAGCCACTTGTTTTCTACAGCCTTGCTTTCCGAACCCGTCACAGCGGGTGTGACAGTGCACTCCTCCCTGCGTCAAAGGGTTTCTCCGAGGGACCAACAAGAGGATGGGGGGGACAGCCCGCCAGCGATACCACGCCGCACCGACGGCAGGCGGGATGCAAGTGCTGATGGCCGCCCTGCAGCTCTGTGCTCAGATGAGAGCGTGTGTCCACTGAAGACCCTGGTGACCACAGCTCCATGGCTGCACCCTCTCTTACCACTGCTGATGGCCGAGTTGGCAATGACTGTAGCCTCACTCCACTGGTCAGCACTGGAGACAGAGTAGGAACGCTGGTGCATGCCATCCGGCCGGCTGTTGAAGGAGACCAGGCTGACGCCGCTTGCCATCTGAGGCCCAGATGCACTAGTGACATGCCCTAGGAATAAACAAGTCAGGTGAACACACCGTGGACTGCAGCCCAAGATGCCAGTGCACGCTCCCTATGGGGCCTGGAGGCTGGCACGCGGTGTCAATGTTCCCACCGAGAGCAGCTACTGTCCCTCGTACGTGGGCGATGGACTCATCGCACAAAGAAGGCTGGAGGGGAGAGAAGGTGAAGCAGATCTGAGGAGGCTTCAAGGAGCATCTGCAAGAACCTAGTGTGGCTCACGGTCATACACAAAGCAGGCCTAAACCACCACACGCCCCATGACCACAGCTCAGGCTGGTGGGGGGAGGGCACAAGGTGCTCTGCCACCAGGCAGGTCAAGTCACCAAGGACGCTGACATGATCACCGACCGGAAGCCACCTGGCTGGTGCTGGGGGATGGCGCTCACGGTGAAGCTGTCCTTTATGATCAACGCAAACCCAAATGCTGACACGCAGACAGCAGCGGCAACCTCAGCTCCTCAACCACGTAAGTTTACGCTTCACCTTGAGAAGACTAAGCAGAGGGAAGGAACCTTAGCACCGCTGCACCACACACGGACCCCTATGAGAAATGACTCCGCTGGATACTTAATGATTTGAGTCAGTTGCTCAACATCATAGTGAATTTATTACCTGGTCAAATCAATTTTCAATTCAAAAACAATTAAATGCCTTTCTCCAGCGCTCAGTTGATCACACCTGGCTGCGACGGGATCTGTTTGTTAGATCGCCTCACACATCTTCAAAGGTTGTTGGGACTTTTTTTTTTCCAATGTCTTCCAAATTCCTTCAGGTTGGAACCATCTGAGTTCTGCCTTGTTCCAATGGAAGGTTTCCCTAGTACAAGACCTTAAATACAGACGGTGTTATCAGTCCTTATGTCTGGCCAGTGTCCTGAATTACTATAGATCTTTCTAACACTAGAGGCTCCAGAAAATACAGATTTGGATTCTGAAGGTCTGGGAGGGAGACCCGTGAGAACCTGCTCCTCCAGAGTACTCCAGGGCCTCAGAGGAGCGAGGTGAGGACAGTCGGACGGGGCCGCTCCAGACAGCAGACAAGCCACCCGGCTGTCACCCTGTGCAGCACTGGTGCCACTGCCGTCAACCCAGGGACTACATGAGCCACATGACCAACAACGACTGAGCGAGACGAGGAAGGCTGCTTTTAACAATCCATTTAAACCTAAAAAAACGACGCCAGCTCTGTGCTGCTGCCTGAACGGGATCACTTTAAATACCATCAACACACAGCTCAGGGACAAGCCTGCTGGAGTCCAGAGAAAAGCTGAGAGTGGAACCAAGAAAGGGAAGGACTGGGACACCCAGACCCTCGCCCCTCAAAATGCGGTCCTCGGACTGTGCACCAGGGCTGGATGGAATCCCCCCAAAACATGTGCTGCAAATCCCAATTGCAATTTTGTGGGTTTTCTTTGTTAGGTTAAGGAGGCCCTGTCAGTGTCAGTGTGTCTTAAACCAATCAGTTTTGAGATTGAAGAGGAGCAGATGAGGCATGGAAGCGAGAAAGGACAGACAGAGACAGACAGAAGCCACTTGGCAATCGCCAAGGAACAAGGACAGATGCTGAAGAGACAGGGCCTTCCCCCCCGAGAGAGTCTCCTCCCAGAGCCAGTGCCCTGAGTGTGGGCTTCTGGCCTCCTGAACCATAGGACGGTCCATTTTTGTTTGTTGAACCCTCCCACCTTGTACTTCTGTTAGAGCACCACTAGAAAACTAAGACTGGTGGGAATATCTTGGAAATGCAGCAGTTCAGACCCCACCCTGAAATCAGTTTTTAATAACATCCTTGGGTCATTCATGTGCACATCCGTGTTTAAGGACACCTGATTCAGAACTGTGAGAATTGTGATTAATTAAAAAAAAAAAAAAAAACCAAAAAACAAACACAAAACCTCAGAGAATAACCACTAGCACAAAACAAGAGCTGTAACTAAAGCTGGTCACCACCAAAGACCAAAAATGGGGCTGCTGGGTTCAGCATCTCCAGACACCAGGACCAGAGCCAGTGTTCTCAGTTCTGACGTTGAGTCCTGCCTCAGGATGTGGACGAATATCCTAGATACCCAGGAACGCACTGGATAGCCTGACGCCCTCCCTGAGTAGGGGCTGTGATGCCAGGGTGGGGAGGGTGAACCCTGGGTGCTGCCTCACACATGTGCAGGAGCAATCAAGCCAGTGGAGAAGCATGAAGGGACAGCTCACAGGCCTTCCAGAACTCTCCACCCACCATCCCTCGGGCCAGCCTCTGTGTGCGCCTCTCCCAGCCACATCCTTACAGAAACAGGGCATCCGGAAGCCCAGGGGAGGCAGCGTACCCACGGCTGTGTCTCCTCCTCCTACAGCCTTGGTGGATGCCTGCAGTCGGCCAGCCACATTCCCACCACAGCCTTGTCCGCACTGGAAGGCTGCTTGTCTGGGCTACACAAATGCGGCTCCACTCCCTGTGGCTTCCTCCCGGGTTCAGCCAAAGGTAGGGGGCAGCCCACAGCAGGAGTCTGAAGGCAGAAGCAGTGGGAGATGGGGGCTGAGTCCCTGGCTCCCTCCCTGACAGGCCGTCTGGGGCTGGCTCTCTCTGCCTTGTTCACTGGAGACCACTGATCCTTCCGAGGTGGCCGATTTGGGTTAGGTGACTGTGTGCTCTCTGTTTACCTGGGACCTGGGGTGGGCAAGCCCACTGCTGCCAGCCCTGGTATCTGAACCGGCCCTGTGCTTCCACAGCCACCTGCCGTCATCAAGTCTCTGCCAACTAGCTCATGGCAGCTGAGGCATCATCACTGCAAATCCAGGAAATCTCCAAGGCCCACTCTGACCTGAGGAGAAAGGTGCAGGAGTGAGGCAGAGCTCACTGACAAAACCCAAAGACCCAGCTGTCAGCAAGTCAACTCAGACTCACGGTACCCCACGTGTCAGGTCAGAACTGCCCTCCAATGGCTGATGGGACATGGATCCCCAGGCCTTTCTCCCGAGACTTCTCTGGGGGCACTCAGAGCCCCAGCATCTCACTTGGCAGCCAAGGATGCTGACCTTTCCACCACCAGGAGACTCCTCAACCAGCTGCCATAGATTCAACCCAGTCACAATACCCCCAGGTGTCAGAGCAGAACTGAGCTCCATACCGTTGATAGTGGCTGATTTTCCTGAACCAGATCACCAGGCCTTTCTTCCGAGGACCTCTGGGAAGACGTGAACCTGCAACCTTTCAGCGTGCACCTCCAGGGCCTCCTCCTGCTCCCCACACCTCTGTAAACAGCCCCCTACAGAGTCAACCCTTCTCCAAGTGACACTGTGTGGCTGGGCCTCCTCTTTCCTGCAGAGTGGTGGGGGGTAGGCCCCAAATCCCAACTTCCTACCAGTTTGAGGCCACAGGGTAAAGAGGGTCCTGCAGAATTGTTCCAGTGGCTGGGTGGGCTTTTCCCACTTTCCTCACAGAAGGCCCACAGTCGGATGCGGAGTGTACTGCAGATGTTTCCATGGTGGAAAAAGAAAAGGGAATGATGGGAGAAGAGCACAGAGAGAGGATACGGGTGAAAGCAGGTGCAATTCCTGCTCTGCCAGGACCCGGCTGCTATGCAAGACCTCAGAACCGGTCCTGTCAGACACCTGAACACGCAATGCTCTATGTCTGTCATCTGTCTGTCTTTTGGTGCACGATGCCAACACGACGACACGTGTAGCGTCACTTCCCTTGTTCATTCTCTCAGGAGTCTGGTTACAGAGGTCACCCAGTGTAAAGAACGAATGGACCTAGTTCTTTTAAAGAAAAAACAGGCTACCCATTGAGATGTTTCAATAAGTGGATGCCACACTCACTCGGCTATGCCAGGAGATCTGGAAGACAGCTACCTGGCCAACTGACTGGAAGAGATCCATATTTGTACCCATTCCAAAGAAACGTGATCCCACAGGATGTGGAAATTATCAAACAATATCAACAATATCACAAGCAAGTACAATCTTACTGAAGATAATTTAAAAAACGGTTGCAGCAGTATATTGGCAAGAACCTCCAGAAACGCCAGCTGGATTCAGAAGAGGACGTGGAATGAGGGATATCATTGCTGACGTCAGATGAATCTGGGCTCAAAGCAAAGAATACCAGAAAGATGTTTACTTGTGCTTTATTGACTATACAAAAGCATTCAATCATGTGGATCATAACAAATTATGGGTAACATTCAGAAGAATGGGAATTCCAGAACACTTAATTGTAGTCATGAGGAACCTGTACATAAACCAGGAGGCTGTCATTCGGACAGAACAAGGGGACACTGCATGGTTTAAAATCAAGAAGGGGGTACATCAGGGTTGTATCCTTTCGCCATACTTATTCAATCTGTATGCTGAACAAATAATCTGAGAAGCTGGACTATATGAAGAAGAACGTGGCACGAGGATTGGAAGAAGAATCATTAACAACCTGAGATACGCAGACAATACAACTTTGCTTCCTGAAAGTGAAGATGAGTTGAAGCACTTACTGATGAAGATTGAAGACTACAGTCTGCAGTATGGATTCCATCTCAATATAAAGAAAACAAAAATCCTCACAACTGGACCTATAAGCAGCATCACAATAAACGGAGCAAAGATTGAAGTTGTCAAAGATTTCACATTACTTGGTTCTACAACTGATGCCAATGGAAGCAGCAGTCAGGATATAAGACGATGTACAGCACTGGGCAAATCAGCCACAAAGGACCTCTTTCAAGTGCCCAAGAGCAAAGATGTCTCCTTGGGGACTAAGGTGAGCCTGACATAAGCCATGGTATTTTCAGTGCCTCATATACATGTGAGAGCTGGACAATGAGTAAGGAAGATCAAAGAAGAGTTGATGTTTTTGACTTGTGGTGCTGGCAAAGAATGCTGAAAGCACCATGGACTGGTAAAAGAACTAACAGATCTGTCCTGGAGGAAGTGCAGCCAGAATGCTCCTTGGAAGCGAGGATGGCCAGACATCGTCTCACCTACTTTGGTCATGTTGTCAGA